TACTGATTGGGCCAATCGTAACTACACATTAAAACACAAGTTATAAAGATTCACTGAAGTCCCAAAGACTAGGGGTCCCGGGATCTTGGAGCACTCTTTGGGACCTCCTGGAACAGTAAGAATATTCATGCACAGAAGAGGGAGGCCTTGTGCTGGAATTCTCACCCTCTCTGGTTATAAAAAATAACTGTTAAGTATATATAGTAGTCTTTGTGAAATTTTTGAGCCATTCTAGAGAATTAACAAACACATAGGGACAATGGCAGTTCTCAGTTAATGAAGAAGGATAAAGTCAGTCCGGCTTGTGACTTAGTATCAAGAATGAGGAATACATAAAGAGACCAACTAGTCTGAAGTGCAGGGAGTTGTGAGTCTATGGCTGCTCCCTAATGACTTGGCCTCAGGTGGCCAGGGATGTTTTGAGCTGGCTCAAGATAGCCAGAAGTGAGGTCTGATGTAACTCAGTGCAGTTGCAATTGACAGGGGAATTTCATAGAAGTGGCTAGCAATCAAGAGTGGAAATGTGAGGCCTGGATGGATTCACTTCCAGCTGGGAACTGGGTTCATGCTCATCCTTGTCAGTTATTAGTGATAAAGGTGGGGTTTGCCCACTAGACCCCTTTTATAGTGCACTTTGTAGCTTCATTGTTCTCCTAGAATGTCTCCCCAGGAACTATCACTACATTAACACAGATGCCTCTGCTAAACCTTTGACTACACCATCAATGCTGAAAATAATATCAATAGCCCTATTCCCTCAGCCTTTTCTTCTCTCCCTCCAGGCAGCCTCTGAAAGTCTGAAACACCAGTAGGCCTCTCAGATACTATTGATATCGTTATTATGAAAGAAGACATCCAAGCTGCACTGGAAACACTAGCAAAAAGAAAGATTCCAAGAATTGATGATGTTTCAACAAATCAATGCAACACTAGAAGCACATATTCAACTATGCCAAAAAATTTAGAAGACTTAACCAACTAATTGGAAGAATCTATATACATATATGCCCATCTAGACCCAGAGAGGGAGAGGGGCTGTGTGCTGATGCCCAAGGGGCAGGCTTGCAGGGTGTACCCTTTGGTTGTTTGATGATGCACGGAGGGAGGGGATGGTAATCATGGCAAAGAAAAGATATACGATAAAATGAATGTAAAGCTAATGTTCTCCCATGTAAACTATCACATTATTTACAATAAAAACTTAAATAAAAAAATACATGCCCATTCCAAAGAAAGGTGATGCAACAGAATGCAGAAATGAAAGAGGGAATATCATTGGTGATATCAGATGGACCATGGCTGAAAGTAGAGAATGCCACAAAGAACATATTTACTTATGTTTTATTGACATGTGAAGGCACTGAATCATGGGTCATAACAAATATGGATAACATTGTGAAAACTGGGAATTCCAGAACACTTAAATTGTGCTCTTTCAGAACCTGTGAATAGATTTGGTGCCTTGAATTTAATGAATATAGCTTTTCTATCCAAAGACTTCTTAATTCCCACCAAGTGATTGGATGACACCATGCAAATAAAGTATACAAGACTCTAAGGCTGGAATTGTTAAGTTTTACTCTCCAGTTAAGCTAAAAAGGAGCCATCTCAGAAGCAAAGATGGAAGATCACAGGACCATCAAGAAGGAAGAATATGAGTGAAGCGTGTCAAACAGTGACAGCAGAGGCAGAAGTGAAGGTAGAAGACGGTGGCATGGAGAGACAGAGCAGCTTTTGGCTCTAGGCCCATGGACTGAGTAAAGCTGAGTGCCTATTGGCAGGAGACTAACTTGAAAAATGTGCCTTTTTGGCATTAACAGACTGGCTAAATAAACTTTGTCACACTTGACGGAGCAGGGCAAAAGCCAAGGGATCATATGGCTGAAAGATTGAAGAGTAAGGTGTTGGTTTTGATCCTGAATCCTACCCTGTTTACTTCCATTATAAGCCCTATGATTGTGAGTATTGTTATGAGTTCTGTGTGGCCACTGCAATGGGATCCAGATGTGAATCATAGTGCTGTAGGAGGAATGGTTGGTGTAAGAATACGGTAAAGATGGTTGTAAGAAGCATGGCTGACCTCCATTTCATAGGAATCAGCCTTGGGCTGATTTTGAGTTTCATTCTCTTTCCCCTTTAAGAAGCCAGGGGAAGTCAGACATGGTCCCCACATGGTCTTTGCAATAAACCAAGAAACAGTCATTTTTAAACCAAGTGATATTATGTGGTTTAAAAATCTGTATGCTGAGGAAATAATCCAAGAAACTGAACTATATGAAGAATACCATCATTAGGATTGGAAGAAGGCTCATTAACAACAACCTATGATACGCAGCTTACACAGCCTTGATTATTGAAAGTGAAGAAGACTTGAAACACTTAACTGATAAAAACCAGACTTCAGTCTCCAATACAGATTACACCTCCACAAAAACAAAAATCCTCATGACTGGACAAATTAGCAACATTATGATAAACTGAGAAAATACTGAAGTTGCCAAGGATTTCATTTTATTTGAATCCACAATCAATACCTGTGGACTGTTGTTATTAAGTAACCATGGAGTCAACATTCAAATCAAACAACATACTCCATTGGGCAAATCTGCGTTAAGGCCTCTTTATAGTGGGAAAAAAAGCAAAGATGACACATTCAGGACTAAATTGAAACTGACCATGGTATTTTCAACTGCCTCATACGGATGTGATAGCTGGACAGTCAATAAGGAAGACCAAAGAAGAATTGATTCCTTTGAATTATGGCATTGGCGAAGAAACATGATCATACCATGGATTAGCATAACAATAAATAAATCTGTCTTGGAAGCATGTGATGAGGAAGGACATCACACTTGGTAAAATACAGTGTTAGCAAAAAAAGAAAATGGTCTTCAATGAACGGATTGACACAGTGGCTGCAACAATGAATTCAAACATAGCAAGGATTGAAAGCATGGGCCAGGATTAAGCAGGGGTTCATTTTGTTCCACTTATGGTTGCTAATTATCAGAACTGACTCAAGAGTACCTAACAACAAAAGGCCTCTCTCCAGAGTAGTCTGAAAATCAATTGAGTCAATTCTCCTTATATTCATTCACTCATTATTTTTGTGAGATACCAATGGTATGCAATAATGTGTTCAAAAAGAAAACTTTTGGCTATAATGTTATAAGAACATGGCATTTAAAATGCAGATCTCTATCACTGGCCAAATTTATTGTTCCTTCAAGTCAGCCTGACTCATGGCAACCCCATCACAACCCCTAGTCCTATGCTATTTCTATCATCACCTAATCAAACAATGTTCCACTGTGATGCATAGGGTTTTCACTCTACTGTTGCAAGTAGTACATCTTAGCCTGGAAGCTCTGCTAAACACGATGTGTCTGGAAAGTATCTGAGATCTTCCACAGGGGAGGTAGCTGTTGCTGCTGTTACGTGCTATGGAGTAATTTCCAACTCATAACGATTTTGTACAGGGTTTCCGAGGCTTGTAAATCTCTACAGGAGTAGAAAGCCTTATTTTTCTCCCAAGGTGCAATTAGTGGATTTGAACTGCTGACCTTGTGGTTAGTAGCCAAACACATACACTACCAGGACTCTTGACAGGGAAGGCTGGAAGTCTACTAATGAACCACCAATGCATCATGGCCTAATCTATACATGTTTAAATTAACAAAGTGTTTTCATTATGCTAAATAGAGTACTTGATGCAAGATTATCAACTCCTCTAGCAAAAAATATACTAATACACTAAAACTCAAAATGGTAAGCAACCAGGAAAAATGCAATTTCCTTCCACTAAAACGAAATGGGATAAGAATTCAGTGTAACATGCTAAAGAAAAATTGTTTCCTCCGTAACATAAAATTTCTACCAAGCTTTACTGAGATGAAAAAAGGATAGGCCAAGTCACAAACCTCTTGAAACTACCCTCTAACTGGCATTGTTTATTTGCTTTTGCATCTGTTCCTAAGATGTAAAAATTAGGCTCTCAGGTTAGAGAGCTTGACTACTAACTGTGCAATCTTAGTTGACAGTACAAGAGACTTTGATGATTTAAAATAATAATAATAATAATTTTTTTAGTTATGGCTACCACACCACTCATAAATTACTTTTGAAAATATTTCCCAAATGATGGTACCTTAAGTAATGACTGCCATGGAAAATTCTTATTTAAGGAAGATAAAACATCTTCACGAGCCCTGGTCCTCTGGGGAAGGGAAAATAACACCAATTTGTTCAAAACTGGTAGAATGAGAACAAAACCCCCGAGTTCTTGTTCGTTTTTTATTCAGTCATTTTAATATAAGATTGAAACAGATGGTAACAGTACTTGAAATTGCACAAAGAACTGCATGCTTTTACTATTAAAAGACCTTTGCTGAAGCTCACAGTTCTGTCAGAACACAACCTTCTAGAAGCTCATTTTCTATCTTTTCCTATCCAAGTAATTCTCACTTACCAAAACTATACCACCACAGCCACCACTCATGATTCAAAGCTCCTGAGCTCAGAGGGACAAGAATCCACAGATTAGTATCATCAGTAATCCAAAGCTTGTTTAAATGTTTGAAGAAAAGAAAACACCAAAAATAGAATACCAAATAGAGTAACTACTATTGTTACTTTAAGGTATTGATTCAAATGTTCTGAACTCAGTGTGTCTATTGATATAAAACCTTCATTCTGAATGGAATCATAAGTTTTAGAAATTAATATATTTCCAGCATTCCGCAGTATTCATCACTTTCAAATAAGATTGCAATATACATCTGCATGTTTACACAACATACACAATTTTCTACATAAACATTTTGTAATATATCAACTCTTGGCCTCAAATAATAGAATACAAAAAGCTACACAAGACAAAAACCACAGAACGTTTGAATATTTCATTTCTCCAGTTGTTAGGTAGTACTTTATTTTTTGAGAGAAAGTGATGAAAAATCAGAAAGTATGCATCTGATATCTGACTTCAACTTTCTACTTTCTTATCGTCTTCTGGTGCCACCATATCCTAAAATGAGAAGAACAAAATGCATTTAGTTTGTGTGGTTTTTTTAATGGCTGAAGATTTCTTATAAAACTTAGAAAAGTAATACAAGTTTATTCTTAGCATATAAGAGAATCTGAGAGGAGGAGAAAATGAGATATCAGGTGGAAGACTATAAGGATAATACAAAATCTCCTTACAATAACCAAGTCAACTAAACTTATTACCAAGTCTACTCAACTCACACTGTACTCAACTTCATTCCTTACACATGAATATGCTTTATATATTCATTGTGGGAATGGTGCATGATCAGGCAGTGTTTCATTTCATTGTATATATAGGGTGGCTATGAGTTGAATTGACTCAACAGCACCTAACAACATATGTGAATATTCAATGTTTAGTCAGAAAACCAAAGAAGATGCATTATATGGTGGAGACAACACAGTAGAAGCAATACTCAAAACCTCAGCCAAAAAGGCAGAGCTCAGCAGAGCAAATGCTATGATTTGCCTCTTTTCACGGTCACACAACTCCACCAGTGTACGTAGAAGAAGTATAGCTTTTCAACAGTAAATGTACAGAACCCACAGCTAACAAGACAGATTACAAGATGGCAAACCTTCCCATCTAGAAAGTCTCTCTATTTTTTTCCAGTTATTTGGTAATACTTTATGATTTTCTGCATACAGAATGTCTTACCTAATTAAATTTTTATACGTATTCTCCCAATCACTATATCAACTTTCTCTCCAAAAGTAAACACAGCTTCAGCATCTACGGAGCACTGTGGCACAATGGTTAAGAGTTCACCTGCTACCCCATGGATCAGTACTTTGAACCACCAGTTACCCTGAGGGAGGGAAGATCTGGCAATCTGCTCCCATAATGATTACAGCCTCGAAAACCTGCGTGGGCAGCTCCAGTCTGTCCTACAGGGGTCATCTGAGTAGGAATCAACTCAACAGCACCAACAATGTCTAAAGATCTAACACCATAGATTAGTTTTGCTTGTTTGTAGGCAGGCTCTGTAGGATTAAGCACAGAACTGCTAACTGCAAGGTCAGCAGTTCAAACCCACCAGCCACTCTGAGGGAGAGAGGAGAAAGATGAGGTTTTCTGCTCCAGCAAAGATTTATAGCCTTGGAAACGATATACAAGGTCACTATGAGTCTGAATCAACTCAATGGCAATTGATTTTTGGTTATACTTATAAAATATAAATGTTAATTACCATATTATACATATTCTTTTATGTCTGGCTTCATTATATTTGGATATCGACCCACATTACTGCAAACAAGAGTTCATTCATTCTTATTGTTGTATAGTACTCCACAATATAACTATACTCAATTTATTCATCCATCCCAACTACTGATGAATATGTGGGCAGCTTCCATTTGGAGGCTACTATAAACAGGGATGCTATCACTTTTCTTATTTTTCATTGTGCAAGTATATGTACTGCTGTTGCTATATATAAATATATATATATATGAAACTGCTAGGTGTGAGATATGCAAATATATATATAGGTAATGTCAAAATTAAGGAGCTCTGGTAGCATAGTGGTTACGAATCGGGCTGCTAACCTCAAGGTCAGCAGTTCGAAACTACCAGCTGTTCCACAGGAGAAAGATGAGGCTTTCTGCTCCTGAAAAGATTTACAGCCTCAGAAACCCTGTACAGGGTCACTATGAGTTGGAAATGACTCCACGGTACATATCAACAACAATGTCAAAAATAAAAATATGCAAATTATAATAGGTAATGTCAAACATCTTTTCAAGGTGATGGTTGTTGTTAAGTGGCGTCAAGTTAGTTTTGACCCATAGCTACCCTGTATAGGGTTTCTGAGGAGCAGCTGGTGAGCCTGAACTGCTGACCATGTGGTTCAAACTGACTTTGCAGTCTAGTGCGTTAACCCACAGCACCATAGCAGGACTCCTCAAAGTGATTGTATCTATTTATACTCAAACTAAGACTATTAATTCCACTCTTACATCTTTAAATATGTGTATATTTTTTCTATCAATTTCAGAAAACGAACAGTTGTATAGCTTGCCCCTCCTGAAAAAGACAAATACAATCCACATCACTATTAAAACTGATCAGCTGTTTAACTCTAAATAATTATTAGGTTGGGATTTTTTATATCATAACTTTGCTTTTTACAAAATACTCTTATCAATTGCAATATACATTATAATCACATTTTTGACAACTATGTGAATTAAAAGTTTGGCTCAATACAAACTTATTGACTTTTTCTGAATTTAAAATGTTCAAACTTCTGGTTAATTCCTATCAGAGCTTAGAGATCACGGGAATAAACATATGTGAAAAGCAAGGTCTAAGAACCTTGCTTAGTAGTACAGCTGAAATTAAACTAAATTCCTATTCGATTTTTTTTTTTAATGTTTAGAGATGGCTGTAAAGAATGAATCTGAATTACACTGTGAACTCAGTTAATTATGCTATTAATAACTCTGGTTATTGTTGTTAAATGCCGTTGAGTGGATTCCGACCCATGACGACCCTGTTTAGGGTTTCCAAGGAGACACTGGTGAGCTTGACTTTGGTAGGTATACCAACTAACACCATGATTAACTAAATATATAATTAATCTTCATAAGTTCCAAAATATTTCTGCACTTTGCTGCTACTAATAAGAACGTCTGCATTTTTTGCTCTTACCTGATGCTGTTCTGGTTCTTGTGTCTGAGCTTGAATATGCTGAATAGCTCCCTGAGCCTCCACGAAGTGGAGAGTAAGCACGACTGTTCCATGTGCTGGAGTATGATGGAGAATAAGACGGGTAGTACCCCCACGAATCTGAAAAGGGTGTTGCTGCTCTATAAAAGCAGGAAAATAGCATGTTACAATTTTTAAGTACGTTCCTGTTCCTAAATGTTCAGGAAAAAAAATCTTTAATATGTATTTTTTTCTGAGTGTCCTGGTCCATTGACGTAAAGTATTTGTTTTCTATTTTTGTCATTGATATGGTCATTACTATGGGGCAAGAATGTGAGCGGAGTAAATGCTCTTTCTTTCAAAATTTGCACTCAATTCCTGAATTTACCCTAACATTAATATTCAAACATTTCACACATTTCAAAACTTGCCTAAAACTCTCCAGCCTTGCTTCTGATCATTCTCATACCAACGCAGACTACTGCTCTAATGTTATGTTTTCCTGCTTATTTTTTTTTAGAAATCAAGTACTGTTCCTAAATATGAGTTCCTGTCTATGAGAATGGCATGAAGAAACATAAGAAAATAGTATATCTAACACTGATCAAAGCATATACTACAGTGTTTTTTGTTTTTTTTAAAGAAATATAAAATAAAATATTCCTACACTTTTACTAAGGAGCTCTGGTAGCATAGTGGTTACGAATAGGGCTGTGAACCACAAGGTCAGCAGTTCGAAACTACCAGCTGTTCCGCAGGAGAAAGATGAGGCTTTCTGCTCCCGTAAAGATTTACAGCCTCGGAAACCCTGATTTACAGGGTCGCTATGAGTCGGAACCAACTCTACGGCACACAGCCACCACCACATCACACTTTTACTGGGGTGAAAAGCAAGCAGTATCAGTTACTTAAAAATAATTGTTTCTCAGTTAATAAAAAATTCTATCTTACAAATGAATCTAGTGTTTATTCTAACAGTGAAACATCTATATCCCAAAGGAAAGGAGAGAGAATTAAGGCAATATTCGGGGCAAGTTTTAAAGCTCATTATTGCTTTGACACCCAAATGAGACAGTAGCTTTATATCTATAGCAGGCAGAGCACTGTCTCACTTTCCCTTTATTAACATAATGTGGTTTTACACTAACACAGTCCTATGCTAGCAACAAAAAACACTTAGGAAGTTTGTTAAACTGAATTCCCAGTTCCCCATCTCCAGAGAGTCTGGTCTAGTAGGGTAATATCACCATAATTTATTTTCCTTAAGTAAAACAAAGAAGCCTCTAAAGAATGAGTAAACAAGTAGTTAAATGAAAGCCTACCTATTACTGCCAAATAAATATCCTAACATTCCTCCAGTTCCCAATCCAGTCCAGAATCCTGGTCCTGAATTTTCATATCCTTGTTGGCCTGTGAAAGCACTGCCAAAACCAGAAGTTCCACCATGGCCGGTATTATGTGGTCCTTAAAAGAAAAATGACTGTATTAGACACCTTCATTTAAATATAACAGAGTCTACAAAAGCAAATGCACAGTAGTATTTCAAGCACTGCTAACCACAAAGCTAGTGGTGCAAACCTCGGCACAACAGAGTCTCTATGAGTAGGAACTGACTCAACGACACTCAACAGCAATGTATTATTAATAAGGAGCATGGTGGCTCTGTAGGATAAGGACTGGACCGCAAACTACAAGGTTGGCAGTTCTAGCCCACCAGCCACTCTGCAGGAGAAACACGAGACTTTCTACTACCGCAAAGATGTACAGCCTCAGAAACCCTATACACGGTCACTATGAGTCAGAACCAACTCATGGTATTATACAACAACAACATAAATTATTAAGGAGTCCTGGTGTGGCATTATACAACAAGCACTGGACTGCTAACCACAAGGTCAGTTGTTCAAATCCACCAGCCACTCCTCAGAAACCTTATACAGAGTCACTATGAACTGGAACTGACTCGATGGCACTTAACACCAACATGCATTAATTAATCAACAGGCCTTAACTTATGAACAAGTTTTATTCAAAAAAGTGTACTTGTAAAATGTTGATCTATAACTAAGAAGTACAATTCCCACAAACATGAAAATGGAGGTGTATATTTTGGGATTGGAAGATCTTCCTATAAAGTAACATCCATCCTGTTCAAGGTCAGTCACGAGAAATAACCCTACTGTTCACACTGACTTCCTGTCTGTATTGTGAGTACTTTTGTAAACTCCAGGTGACAGTTGTATCTGCATCTCAAATCGAGGGATCAACAGGAGGCAGCCAGATACGTTTTTGTATCAGTAAGGAGATCAGGTCTTAAAGAAGCCAAAAAAAGATCTTCTGTTCAAAGCAAATTTTCCAAGAATTGCTATATACAAGTAATGCACATATAGGAACTGTGTTCACCTTACATTTATATTTATATACTTATGTACATGTTATGTGTATATAAGCATACATGATAAGCTCCGGACTGCTAACTGCAAGGTCATTGGTTCAGACCCACCAGCCATGCCTTGGAAACTGTATACGAGATCACCATGAGTCAGAACCAACTTGATGGCACATAACAGCAACACACAACCACGTGATCAGTACTCACATCAATAAAATATTCCTAGCACCTTTCACAGCTCCCTCATGATGCTTCCCAGCTGATTCACCACCCACGTCAGAAATGAGCCGATTCTAGAACTTTTTATAAGCAGAATAAAAAAGTATATACTCTTTTGTGTCTAGTACGTCATTACGTCTGAGAGTCAACCTTATCATTATGCATATCAGCAGTTCTTTTTTACTGATGCGTAGTCCTGGTATGGCATTGTAGAATAATATGGTATAGTGAATTATCTGTCTCTTCCAGCCATAGTCCATAACTCACACAAAACGTTTCTGCCCTGCAGGGTCTGAGTAAACGAAGGTGGGAAACGATACTGATAGGATGACATGATTCCGCTATGGATGTTAGCAGAGTTCATTGTAACTGCAAAAACTTGAATATCTAGCATGGTTTAAAATGAGCCATCTCAGAAGCAGAAGTGGGGGATCTCACTATCATCAAAGAAGAAACAGGAGGGGAGCACGTCCTTTGGACATCGAGATCCCTGTGCAATGAACTGCCTTGATCCTGTGACACCAGAGGAGTGGCAGAGGAGCAACAGCAGCAGGCCGAACCAAGAACCAGAGCACAAGACAGGGCAGTGGACTTTCCATCCCGTGAAGCAAGTAGAGCTGAGAAACTTGGGGCAAGAGGCTTGTTTGCAGAGTGGGGTTCCTCCAGGCACTTAAGTGGGGGAGCGAGGTTTGCTGACCCACGGAGCTAGTGTCAGGTGCCTTCAGGACGAGGCTTATGGTGGAGTGATGTGTCCTATGTGCCCATTTATCAGCAGCTGACTGGAACAACTATACCCTGAGCATTTCTGGTCCCAAATTGTAGCCTGTTAACTTCCCTAATAAACCCCATCACTGTGAGTATGGTCTCTGAGTTCCATGTGGCCATTGCAACAGATTATCACACCCAACTGAGGAGTAGAAAGGGTTGTGGGAGGAGTGGGTGGTGCCACATGCCACATATTTTACAGATAAGCATAGAACTGCTAACCACAAGATCGGTGGTTCAAACCCACCAACCAACTTAACAACAACAGTATTACACTGTGTGAGAAATTCAATTTGATCCATTCTAATGTTTGTGGACATTCGGTTTCCAGTTTGGGATCATCAATGAAACTGCTATGAACATTGCTGTGCATGTCTCTTGGTGTGCATACATATTCACTGATCTTAGGTATACCAGGAATGGAACTGCTGAATCACAGGGCAAACTTATCTTTAGTTGTAGTAACTCCTGACAGTTGTCTAAAGTGCTTTACCATTTTATACTACCACCAGCAATGTAAAACAGTTTCACTTGGCATCTTTACCAGTATATGGTCCTTTATCTTTTTAATACTAATCATTATGGTGGTTCTATAATGATTTTATTATAGTTTTAATTTGCAATTTCCAAAAGATTAATTATGCTCATTATTTTTTTCTGGTTTTCTAAATATCTTCTTTTATAACAAAGTGCCCGTTCAAGTTTTTGTTCATCTTTAAAATTGGGTTGTCTGTCTTTTCTCAGATTTGTGGAAGTTCTTTATATATTCTAGATACCATTCCCCTGCTGGAAAAACATTTTGCAAATATTTTCTCTCAGTCTATGCCTTGTCTTTTCACATTTAATAATGCTTTTTACTGAACAGGTGGTAGGCCCGGGGTGGTCCAAAACTATAACACACCTGGCTGTTAACCAAAAGATTGGAGGTTCAAGTTCACTTGGAGATGCCTCACAAGAAAGGCCTACCAATCTACTGCCAAACTTCCAGCCAGTGAAAAACCTATGGAGCACAACTGTACTCTGAAACACAGATGATCACCTGCTCAATTAGCAATTAGCTTGTTTGGGTTTGGCTTTATTTTTTTTTCTAAAGCCATTGTCATTGAGCTGATTCTGATTCATAGCACGCTACAGGATAGAACTATCCCATAGGGTTTCTTTCCAAGGTTGTGATCTTGACAGAAGTACAATACCACATCCTTAACCCATGAAGTAGCTGGAGGGGTTCAAACCATCAACGTTATGGTTAACAGTCAAGAGCTTAACCACAGGGCCATCAGGGCTGCCTTTTGCTAAATGTTGTTGTTGTTAAGCGCCACTGAGTTAGTGCCAACCCATAACCCATAGCAACCCTGTATAGGGTTTCCAAAGAGCAGGTGGTGAGCTTGAACCGCCGACCTTATGGTTCAAACCAACTTTGTAGTCCAGTGCATTAACCCACAGTGCCATCAGGACTCCCTCTGCTAAACTGTTGTTGTTGCTAAGTGATGTCGAGTCTGTTCCAACCCACAGTGACCCTGTACAGAGTTTCCCTGGAGTGGCTGGTGAGCTTGAACCACTGACCTGCGGTTCAAACCGACCTTTCAGTCCAGTGCATTTACCCACAGCGCCACACCAGGACTCCTTTTGCTAAATAGACAATCTTAATTTAAATAAAGCCCAATTTCTTTGTATTTTCTTTTATGGCTAACACTTCTTGTGTCCAGTTTAAAATATCTTTGCCTATCCCAAGGCCATGACAAGTAAGTCTCCTAAGTTTTTTCCTAGAAACTTAATTGTTTTACCTTTTACATTAAGATCTACAATGCTTAATGAATTAATTTTTGTGTATATTGTAAGATAAAGGGGTTCTGATAATAAGTATTTATTATAAAATCTGATCAAGTTTCTGATTAAGATGATTTATAGTTTAGTCATGTACTTTGAAAATAGCAATGATAATGAACCTTTATAGAGAAGCAGAACAGAAAATGTTAAAAAAAACGAGAAACTTGAGAGTAAAAATTAAATGAGAAGACAAATCTGCTTTTGTTTCCCAATGCTACCATTTTTCACAAGGGGACTTCAAAAACTTCATGGGAAAATTGTTATCTTTTACTTTCATTCTTCCATAAACTTCCTGAAGCCCCCTCATATTTCGGAAACGAACGTAGGGTTCACTACCTCACATCCACCCCACCTATTGTCTCTGCTTAGAAAAACATACCTGTGAACTCAGACTTAAAGCCTGGGGGATGGGGTCCCGCTGAGTTGGTGAATCTCTGATATCGGTGGGCATAAGGAGGATACTCAGAATATGGTGGAGGCGAATCTTGACCATCACTAAGGAACAGCTTATAAACTCCAAAGGCAATAGCAAGCAGCACCACAACAGTAATCAGTCCACGGATGCCATAGGAGTCTGGGCTATACAGCTTATCATAATAATCAGAGAAAGAGTTAAAGCCATGTTTTCTCCCAGACTCTCTCAATTTCTTCAGGCCAACTTCTGTGTAATCTAAATTATACTCCAAGCCACAGGACCCTCTTAATACATACTGGTCTTCAGAGGATTCATAGCCTTCACAGCTCACCACAGTTTTTCCAAATTTGTATGCAATATCTAAGTCAGTCTTACATTCCCACTGTGAAGTAAAATAGAAATAGGTTATTTGAGCCTAAAGTTGTTTTTTCACTTAACAAATTATTATGTAGGCTGTATATATATGTCATAAAATTTCAAGTACAAGGATGATAGTAAACCCACATAATTCACAATAAAAAATAAAAAAAGATAAACTTCAGGACACTGACTAGTTCTGTGGTAGAAGAAGACAAAATAGGCACTTTAAAAATACTGATTATGTTAATGTTTTACTTCTTAAGCCAATTGGTGCATATATACGTGTTCATGTTAATACTATTCTTTATTCCTTACATATCCATGCTACATTCTTTTATATTTACTATTTCATAATTTATAAAATTAAGTTTTAAATGCCACTTGTTGTCACTGTTCAAGATACTTACTTTAAAAATAGAGATTTTTCTTACAAGCTTATGATCAGTCATCTAAGATACAACTATTAGTCTCTACACATACGGAGTAAAAGAGAGAGGGAAAACAAAGACTCAGAAAAGAAGCTAGTCCACAGGGCTAATAATCTACAAAAACCACAGCCTCATCTACCCTGAGACCAGAACTAGATGGTATCCTGCTACCACTACCAACTATTCTGATTAAGAACACAACAGATCCAGGAGACATCAAGCCAAGTAGTTGGGTCCCCTCAGGGAAAATCCCCTTCCAAGACTGAGACTCAATGGGAATACACGACCAGACATGTGCTCTGACTGGTGACCACGTTGGTCATGGAGAAGGGGAAGTGAGGGAAAAACAGCAATGAAGCTGTGAGCTAAGTATGACAATATTCAATAGACTCCTGTGAGCCCGGGTGGAGACCTGGTTGGCCAGCAGTATGGCAAGACCTGGGAACTCTTGGGCCCAGAGTCAGTGACATAGCCACAGAGGACTAGAGTGGAGAGTGAAGCATCCAGCTGATAAGAGAGGTCATATGTACAAGAACACCCACACTTGCAGATAATACCCACTTGACCTGGCTTCAATGACTGGATGATCAGAGCTCAACTAGAAGAAGAAAGAAGAGGAAAAAAAGAGTAATCTGACACAATTTGATGAACTTGACCTATACATATGGATGCAGTAGCTCAAAAGAGGGAACAAATCTTTACAGTGAGGATCACTACCACCCCCTCCATACACAGAGTAGCCAGGAATGGGCAACTTGGACATTGGCTACCCAAAATAGGGGAGCTACTAAGGCAAGAAGTGACTGGTTTACAAGCTTTCAAGACAGAACCTAGATCCAGAGGGCGCAAAGGAAGGTAGAATCTCCACTGAGTAGTATCCAATCTGTCTGGAGGGGCTGATGAAAGGAGATGGGGATAGGACTCTTGTGGTACAATAGTGAATAATTGCTATCAGGACTGGCTGTGAGGGTTGGAAATGTAAAGGTAGATGTTTTGTAGCAAAAGGAATGGAGTGGTTGACTTTGCAAGTCCAGGAGCGGAGGTCCCTGGGACCATCAAGGGAGAAGAGCGGAGTGCGGGACCCTACCCAGAGAAACAGTGATGCCAGAGATGGAGGCAGAGAAGATGACGTGGAGAAATGGAGTGGCTGGGGACTCTAGACCCAGAGAGGGAGAGGGGCTGTGTGCTGACGACTGGGGGGCAGGCTTGCAGGGTAAAACCTTTGGTTGTTTGATGATGCATGGAGGGGGTAGTAACCATGGCAATGTAACGATATATGATAGGATGAATGTAAAGCTAATGTTCTCCCATGTAAACTATCATATAATTCACAATAAAACATTAAAAAAAGAACACAACAGATGGATCCTGAGAGAATGAGAGCAAAATGTGAAACAGGACTCAAAGTTTTTAAAAGTCCACATTTACTAGTTAAAATTGGAGGACTCCATGGGCCTAACACCCTGGGAAACTCTTTATTTGAACTAAACAGAAAACAGCATCTTTAAAGATATTTAAAGAAACACAAGTTATTGCATTTCATTGTACGAATGTACCACATTTTTTTTATCTACTCATTAGTTCATGAATATGATGTTTGCTTCTACGTTTTTGGCTAGTATGAATATTACTGCTGTGAACATTTGTGTACATATGCTCATGTAGATAAAAATTTTCAATTCTCTTGAGTATATACCTACAGAAGAAACACTGAGTCATATTGTAATGCTTAACTTTTAGAAGAACTGTTTTCTAGAGTGGTTTTATCATCTTATGTTCCCAACAGCAGTGTATAAAGGTACCAATTCCCATGTTCTCACCAATACTTGTTATTATGTCTTTCTGAATCTGATATTGTCTTTCATTGTGGTTTTACTTTGTATTCCTGATTGACTAATGATGTAGAGCTTTTTTTTCATGTATTTATATAGCTAGTTAAGGAGCTCTGGTAGTGTAGTGGATTACGAGCTGGGCTGCTAACTGAAAGGTCAGCAGTTTGAATCTACCAACTGTTCCACAGGAGAAAGACGAAGCTTTCTGTTCCTGTAAAAATTTACAGACTCAAAAACCCTATACAGGGTCACTATGAGTAGCAATCAACTCCACAGC